TCTGAAGCCAATAATGATATGCTATGTAAATGTCCCAAAGTAGATATTGAGAGAGCAATTTATTTTAAGTTATTTATCCCCACAGGATGTCACACATATACTGCAACTACTAAGTGTATTTGTTTCTGAAAGGGCCCAAACTGACAGATGACACAGCATGAGAAGGAGTCGAAGTGAAGTTGTTATCATCTCTTCTCCTTTGTTAACTTTAGCCCAGAAAGTGGAAATCAAGAGCTGGGAACGCATCTTGATAATACACAAAATAAACCATTTTGCACTTCGGTGATGGTGGGGTGTATTAAACTTGTATATATACTTTAATACTTTGACATGAATCAGCCGTTTTTGCCTGGGTCCTGTTAATATCAACCTAGGCATGTTGAGAAGGCTTCCTATGCTTTTGTTAAAACCAAAAAATATTTAAGTGAATCATATCACTTGCTTAAAAAGGTGGCTATTTTGGTTTTGTTAGTTAAAACAAATGAGCAACTTTTGTTATAGTTTTAAAGATATTTTTATAACTAATCTCAAGACCATGTTGATTTAGTAGGAGATCCCAGACTTAGGTGGTCTACTGCTCTTGTCAGAAAAAAAAAAATTACACAATGCCTCTCTGGAAATGTATCTTTTTAATGCAAATAAACAGAAAGTGCCCCCCATACCCCAAATTTCAAAGGAGTCTACTATTGCCCCCTGAACGGTTCCAGGATCTCCCTCACACTTGGGTGAGGCGGCACTTTGGAAAACATTAGGTTTTGGTTTGAAGGCCACAATAGTAATTAAGAGTTGACCTTTATTTTATTCTAAAATTTAGTGCTGTAGTAATAATGTGAAAATGCTGCTTTTAAATAATTTGCTTTCTGATTTCAAACTTTTGATTATTTTAAAATTTCTGATATTTGGTACATTATGTATAGAAATTCATGTGATTTTAATTATAACTTTTGCTTTCAACATGAATATCTTGAAGCATTGTTATTTTACTAGGGCACTAAAACACTCTTTGTATAAAAGAATACAAATTTATCATTATTTAAACAATAATGTTTAAAGTCTATCACTATAGAAAATAGGTGAGATGTCTATAACCAAACATGTCTGTATGAGGTGCAATGCTAAAGGAATATTTTCATTCTTATCTAAGAACTCAAATTGTAGGAGAGTATAGTGTAAATAGTGATTACAAGCAATGCTTCAAATGATGTTTTTGTGTTTTTTTTTAATTAAAAGAAATCCTGTGGTTGTAGATTTCATTTAAAGTGTTCTCTCTTTTCATTCATGACTTTCTTCTGCCTTCACTATAGAAAAACTGTTCCATAAGAATCTTCATTAAAATAATCAGCTATTTAACACTGTTTTAAATGTGTCTGACTTCAGAATGAATTTCTAGAAGAACACTTACTATACTTATTTTCCCTTGAAAATGTTATGAGCTACAAATTAAAAAGCAGCATCTTTTAGATCCTGAGCCTTTTAAACGATTTTTAACATTGATATGCTGTAAAAATTTTCCTCAGCAAACTTGGGTATATCATAAGGTATATATAACTTGTATAAAAATAATCTTGATATTTTTATATCAAGAAAGTTAAAAATTCATTACAGTTTTAAAATATTGAGTTTTCCTTTTGTTTTAAAGAAAAGGCAGTATAAGCAAAAGATAACAGAACAAGATCTAATTTGTTTGTAATAATTTAAAAGAAAATAGTGAAGTCTAAGGTTATCAGCTTGATATCTGAGGTCAGCTTCTAGAAGTCATGAATAGTGACCTGTGCATTATGACACAGTAGTCAGATCTAGTCGGGACTAAAGACATAAAATTCAGATGTAGCAAAGGAGACAGTGAAGAAGCGAGTAGTGAGATTTTTCTAGCTGGGATTTGATGGCAGGTTGATGTTGGTGCAGGAGAGAAAGAAAAAAAAAACTGACTACTATAGGAGATTGACTTTGCAAAAATTTGGCACGGTGTGTTTGGGAAATTACAAAGTAGGTAATATTGTTAATAGGCACATTGGGAAGTGTTATAAAATAAGGTGCTAAATATAGACAGAAGTCAAGAGCAAAGTTTGGAAAGACAGGGCTTATATCTCTGCATTCTTTGTTTTTTTTTTAAGTTGCTAAACAAATAATAGTGTTGCACAAAAAGTGGACTTCGAATGCTGTTCTTTCGTAACACATCTTAAAAGGTTATTCATGCGGGAACAAATGACACAGATCTTGAGCTTGTGTTGGTCTTTCCACGAGTAAGGCCAAATGATGCCCCACAAAAACGACCACAACCAACTATTGCTACACCTTGTTCTTTTAAATGCTCCCATTGAAGGAAAACTTGATGGGGCCTTTCTCTTGGTTAATTCTTTGTTTTTTTTTTTTTTTCTTACAAGGAAAAGCTCTGACAGGATTAACGTGGCAATAGAGTCACTTTTCTGAGCTGATACTTTTACTTAGAGAGCTTTGACTCCAAACTAAGTCTGTTCATGCAGCTTTCCTTTGAGTGAAAAATAAGTACAGTGCCATAGCTTCCCTATTTTCTCCTATATAATGTCTCAGGCACACAAGTATATTTCCACCTGCTAGTATTACAAAATGCTTACGCATGATTCTCTAGGCTGAGTGCTCAGTCTGCCTTATTATGTCTTGAACACTGGTGACATTTAGAACACAAGTTATCGCCTTCCCAACTGTATAATCTGAAAACCTATTGCCATGGCTCTATCTGCTGAATCTGTGACAGAGGCAATGCCTGATCGCAAGTAGTGATAAAAATCACAGTAGCAGGGCTGCAGGGACTGCACAGGGCATCAGGGCTTGCCTTGTATGAGGTTGACCCTTATTTGATTCTGGTCCTGTTTCTGTTCCCTTGGCAGTCCCAGGAATGACCTCTGAGTACAGTGCCAGGAGTAAACCTCAAATACCACCAGGAGTGGCCCCCAAACCAAAACCATAAAATTCTGTTATTTAGTTAAAATAAAAAAATTAGTTCTCCCATTACCCACATTATTTTGAAGGAAATATAGCAAACTTTATGTTTTTAAAAGTAGATCTGAGACACTAGTTTTTTTTTTTATTTTTAGTTCAAGGTACATTCATTCACTATCAGTAGCGTCATAATGGTTTTGATACAAAGTTTTTAACAAAATCATTTTTTACTTAACTTTTCAACGGCATTGTAAATAATCTCATCTTTTTGGAGAACCCACCATAGAAATGACTTGGGGACAGCTGAAATTTTGCTGCCATAAAATGTCATCGTTTTCTGGTTATTTCCTGCCAGGGTTTTTTTTTTTTTTATTTTCTTGACCAATCTTAATGCACAGTAACAGGTTTTTTGTTTTGTTTTTTTTTCAAAGAGACTAAAAATTGAAACAAAACACAACAACTCAATAGCCCATCCCTACCACAATTCCAAATCCAACGTGCTCTTCCCTCACAGGAACTGACAGCAAACTGCTACAATCTTAGTGCACGTTTTTCAGGGAATGTTCAGATATTTGGGGTTTCCCTCTCTCTGATCACAATCTGCCTGTGAGAAAAACTGGACTACAAAAAAAAGTTTCACCATCACACACGACAGCCGTGCCTGAAGTCAATGCAGATTCCACCTCCTTTCTTTCCCTGGATTCCCAGCCAGGGGCGCACAATGGGGGTGTTGTGCTCAGGGCTAAGGCGGCGTGCAGGGGACGCAGGGCAGACGCGGGAGCTGCTTCCAGCACCTACATTATTGGCTTTATAACTAACTGCCCTGCACCAAATCCAACGGCACACCAAGACTCAGTTCAGAACAAGCAAGTGCAAAATCCAGAGGCTCTTAGATCTAGGTGGAGACCCGGGAGTCCTTCATTTAATAGGACACAGAGGTGTGTGTGGAGTGTGAAATGCATTTTCTCTGAGGTTTCAAAGGAAACGCCTCACAATGCGTTGTGGCTTTCCAGGTCATTCTCTTAATCAGTTCTCAGAAGAATCCCTTGTTTTTAAAGGAGAAAAGCCATTGGATAGGAGAACTGTCCACCACGACAAACTTACGTTTCTAAAGAGGTAAACATTTGTCCCAACCCCCAAAGTCCATTAGTCATGATTTTTGCAAAGCCTTTCTCGAACCTAAATGCACGGAAACAATTGCGTTTGACACTGTGTGAAGGCAGTGTGTGTTTTCCTGGTAAATCCAGATGACACAGTGACTACAAAGCTGTTCATTAAGTTCTGCTCTAAGTCGTTACACTATGCATAGAAAGAAAGAAAGGAAGGAAGGAAGGAAGGAAGGAAGGAAGGAAGGGAGGGAGAGGAAGAAGAGGAAAGAGAGAAAGGGAGAGAGAAAAGAGATGAAAGAAAGAAAGGAAGGAAGGAAGGAAGGAAGGAAGGAAGGAAGGGAGAGGAAGAAGAGGAAAGAGAGAAAGGGAGAGAGAAAAGAGATGAAAGAAAGAAAGAAAGAAAGAAAGAAAGGAAGGAAGGAAGGAAGGGAGAGGAAGAAGAGGAAAGAGAGAAAGGGAGAGAGAAAAGAGATGAAAGAAAGGAAGGAAGGAAGGAAGGAAGGAAGGAAGAGGAAGAAGAGGAAAGAGAGAAAGGGAGAGAGAAAAGAGATGAAAGAAAGAAAGAAAGAAAGAAAGAAAGGAAGGAAGGAAGGAGGAGGGAAGGAAGGAAGGAAGGAAGGAAGGGAGGAAGGAAGGAAGGAAGGAAGGAAGGAAGGAAGGAAGGAAGGGAGAGGAAGAAGAGGAAAGAGAGAAAGGGAGAGAGAAAAGAGATGAAAGAAAGGAAGGAAGGAAGGAAGGAAGGAAGGAAGGGAGAGGAAGAAGAGGAAAGAGAGAAAGGGAGAGAGAGAAAGAAAGAAAGAAAGAAAGAAAGAAAGAAAGAAAGAAAGAAAGAAAGGAAGAAAGGAAGGAAGGAAGGAAGAAAGAAAGAAAGGAAGGAAGAAAGAGAAAGAAAGAAAGAGAAAGAAAGAAAGAAAGAAAGAAAGAAAGAAAGAAAGAAAGAAAGAAAGAAGAAAGAAAGACAAGAACCCTTACCTCTGTCCGTCAAGAGGGAAACACCAAGCCCGCCTTCTCCACCGGCCTCAGTGTCAGGCAGAGGCTCTCGGAGCCAACAATCTGTCCACAGGAGGCAGGTACACCCGAGAGCGTCCGCCTGCGTTCCAGCCCGCGCCCATCTGAGCACACACCTGCTTTCACAGACCCGCCGCCCAGAGGCAGCCGCCACGCATGGGACCTGGCTCGGCAGACGGTCGCACCTGCGTCGGGGGTCTCTACCGTTCAGGCTGAGCAGCTAGAGAGCTGGCGAGATAGCGTTGCGGGGGAGGCTTGCAGGCAAGACCCTTTCCGCTGCCTGAGAGCAGATATGCAGCGTTATCGCTCTGCATCCCAGCTTCTCAGATCAGCTCCCAGGAGCAGCAGTCAACGGCTTGTGCAAACGACAGCTTGCACCCGCGCTGGGCTGTAATCATCGTCTGCCGACTTGCTCGTCGCTGGCGTCTGCTCAGAGCACAGCCAAGAAAATTGCAGAACATGCCACCCTGTCTCCCATACGGAAAATGGCTGGTCCTCTCTGCACCGCTGCAGCTCGCTCATTGGGTTCCCCTGGCTTTTCGTCGTCATAGCAACGGCCAAGAGACAGACGCAGACGGCCAGCCTGGCCGGTCCTGTGCAGCGCACCGCTCAGCTGGTTAATAATTTCTTTGCATCAAACTCATCGTTTTTTGAGGAGGGGGGCTTCTGTGACCCTCCTGAATATTTCACGACGGTTCAAGTGCTCAGTCCTAACGCTTCTGCGAGCAGCTTTTGTCATCTCAGGCAGGACCGTACGTGCAAATAAGTCAGGAAAAAACCCCTTCCAAGACAGAGATTCGGGTCTATCCGGGTCAATGACATGCAAATCACTAGAGAGACATTAATTGGAACTCCCGTGGAGTCGGGTTCCCCCCTTTATGCCATAGAACGGGGACACAGGGGATTGATTAGTAAATGTGGGTAAGTCTTACTTTTGGTTTTTAAAGGAGCATCTTATCATTTAATTGAAACAAAGCCTGGTGATCCGTTGCGTGTGGCTACAGTAACAACCACAGCAATAAAAGTATCTTAGGGGCTAGGGCGCTAGCACAGCGGGTAGGGCGTTTGCCTTGCACGCAGCTGACCCGGGTTGGGTTCCCAGCATCCCATATCGTCCCCTGAGCACCGCAGGAGTAATTTCTGAATGCATGAACCAGAAGGAACCCCTAGGTATAGCCGGGTATGATGCAAAAGGAAAAAAAATGTATTTTAACAAACTATTGCTTATGAATTTTATGTATCGAGTCCTTTTAATATACATTTTTGCGTGCACAATTTAAAATAGAATTTAAAAAGTTCCCATTGCTTTTTGATGAAGGAATTATTCTTTAACTCAGTTATTGTTTATTTGTAATTAAAAATCATTAGCAATGCCATCCGTGACGTATTCAATATGCCAAACACAGTAACAACAAGTCTCATGATGGAGACGTTACTGGGCCCGCTCGAGCAAATCGATGAACAACGGGAGGACCGTGACCGTGACCAAGCAATGCCATCCACATCACAAGTCTTTTGCTCTAAACTTGATCCCTAAAGCAGGAATAGTTTTACTTCCTTAATAAGAAAGATCACATCTCACCATTCCTTAATATTTTAGCATTTTAGGGGATTTCCCAAGATTCTTAACATCATTAATATTTAATCTTCTTGCAAAATTCCAAGTCTTATCTTTAATTCTGTATCAACAGTTATTTTGTATTCCAAGACCCATTTATTTATTTTTTTTTGGTTTCTAGCAATTTGGTCACACTGTGGATTTGTAAACACTGAGGCTTCAATTGTTAATAGTCCTTGGCAGTGCTTCAGACAACTTGTGTTTCCCTACTCAGGCTAGCACATCTGACTCTAGTTTTAATTCTCCAACTTTGGTACATCTAAGGATGCAGATTCAGAGAGAACGTTTCCCTTTCCTCTCCAACCAGATTCCCATTTCATAGGTTTGAGTTAGCTCCAGGTAAGCTTGTCTGCTGAAGAAAAGTGGGTGGTCTATTGCCATCTTGGGAGAGTTCTCACCTTTATGTCTTGTTCTAAGGCTTCACTCCTATTCTCATTTCAGCTGGCTTCCATTGTATTGAATTTGCCTGACCTTGCCCTGGTCTTCAACTTTAGACTCATACTCTGCTCTTCACGTGCCTTGTTTCAGGAATCTTGAATTATATCCCATTTCATGCTTCCTTGCATTGAAGACGTACTTGGAACCTAAAATCTTCTTCGGCAGGTCCTCCCACAAGCAAACCTTTCCACTTCATCCCAATAAGCCTCCTACTTTATCTTTGAACACCTTGCTCAAATACACCACCTCATTGATGACTATCCCAGGCAGAACTTTCAGTGACCTCTCTCTGTGCTTCCTCTATATCTGTGATCTAATCTTACTATTTATGACAACATTTTGGACTTTATAATAGAAATGCATTATACCAGTATATGATGAATGATTTTCTCAAATAAATCCTGAGGTCACGGGCTGGAGCGATAGCACAGCGGGTAGGGCCGTTTGCCTTGCACGTGGTCAACCCGAGTTCAATTCCCAGCATCCCGTATGGTCCCCCAAGCACCGCCAGGAGTAATTCCTGAGTATATGAGCCAGGAGTAACCCCTGTGCAATGCCAGGTGTGACCCAAAAAGAAAAAAATTCTGAGGTCATATAAATTATCTCTCTCTCTCTCTCTCTCTCTCTCTCTCTCTCACCCCCCACACACATACACACACACAACTCACACAATGTTGTCAGCAAAAGTGAATTTCAAAATTAGCATTACTTGTGTTTTAAAATTAGCAAATGCAGTGAATACAGTGAATGAAAAAGAATGACTGAGAAATGTTAGATGAGCTACCTGAATGCAATGTGTGATCCTGGCTTGTAAAAAAAAATTGTAAAAAAGCAGGAAAAAAATTTATAATGCATCTTGTTGAAACAATGGTTAATTTGAATATGACCTAAATGTTAGATAATAGTATGGCTTGCATTTTTAAATTATATTATTGTTGTAAGTTCTTGTCCATAACACATATAGAAAAATATAGGAATAAAGTGCCATCTGTTATACAACTTACATTTAAATGACTCAAACAAAAAGATGTATTATAACATATTTGTATAACACATGTGGATATTATAATTTAATTCCTATAACTTCAGATAGATATGTTTGTACCTGTGAAACCCTACACACATGTCAATGAATTCTTTTATTTACCTACTCACCTACCTATCAAGGGCTAGAATAAACATAGTACAATTCTAGTATCTGTTGAACTTTAGTAGAATGATATTCCTAGCTTATTTTAGTATTTTTCCATTTTCCTGTAAATCTGAAACTTGCTGTTCCCAAGATGAATATAAAATTGTGAAATAAAATGAGAATAAATTTCATTTGGAGAACAACACAGATTTCAAGTAAGGTAAGGTAATTTTTAACTATTCAAAGTTAAAACTAAGGTTGAATGCTATAAATTAAGATTATTATCTCTTTGTTATTGTCAGCATTATAAAGAATCTAGATTGATAGAGATTATTGGAAAAATTTTATACTTTCTTGAAAATGTGCTGTTTCTCTACACCTATTGGTACCCTAATGTTATATTACTTATCCCTTGTGTCTTACATTGAAATTCGTCTTAATCTGATTTCTTCTCTTGTAAAAATTCACCAAGAGCATAGTTGAAAAGTAACATGTTCTACCCCAATCATAAAACTGGTCGACAATCTAGGAGGAATTCAGTTCATGGTGTAATAAAAGAAGGAAGAATCCTAGCAAAGTCTATTTTACAAAATAGTAGCACTACCTTCCCGTTGTTCATGGATTTTCTCGAATGGGCACCAGTAGTGTCTCCATTGTGAGACTTATTACTGTTTATGGCATATCGATTATCTCATGGGTAGCTTGCCGGGCTCTTCAAGAGGGGTGGAGGAATCGAGCCCAGGTTGTCCGCGTACAAGGCAAATGCCCTACCCACTGTGCTATTGACAGAATAGTACAGAGTATTATAAAGCTTAGGTTGAATTCACTAGCACTTAACAATAAATAAGTCAGGATATGCCAGAGGCTGTTCCTAAATATTGCATATTTAATTATAGTACTAAGGACATGAAAAACAGCCTCCTTAATGAAACCCAGATGGGAAGTGTGACTCCCAGTTTGAAAAGGATTAGAAAGAGAATTGGTGCATCTCAGTAAAGCAAATTGGTTTTATTTCTAAGATTTCATCCTCCAAGAAAGCAATGCTTGGAAGACCAGCAGAGACAGAATTACGCCGATGACACATAAGCTAGTAATCACAAGCTTTCATATCCTTCAAGAAAGTCTGACCTTGATCACTATCCAGAATGACCTTGATAGTCAGAGCTATCTGAAACCAAAACAACCCCTGAGAGAGGGCTGTATGGAAATTGACTTATTAAATGAGTTAAAAATGTGATACATGTGATAGCAATAGAAAGTGCTTTAAAAAAACTAAACATCAAGTAAAATCTATTCACACAAAAGTGTCTTATGTGCACCATAAAAGAAAATCCCATTAGTGCTTATTAGGACTCAGTTCTGCAAAGAAATAAAGGGACAGTGGCTGAAGCATGGGCTGGAAAACCCAAACTTGACCAGCTCATTTCAAAAATTATTTCACCTTCATCAAATTCTAGGTCTGCCAATGCTGACAGTTGCAATGGCTTACGGGAACAAATTTATTTTAAAAAATTCATTCCTTGGTGTCCATAGCAGGTATGTGCTGGGCAGGAATGGAAAACCTTGCGGGGGAGTCATTTATCTAATGACAAAAGGAAATGAACTAGCTCTGCCCCCAGTCCTTCTAGACCCATCCACAGGTTGTCCTGCTTTCACCCTGCTCAATCAAGGGAAACACACTGGGTTTAATTATGACCTCCACGTCAGAGTTTCTGGGAGAGGCAGAGAAGAACTCGCACTGGCTTCCACCCTGCTTGCTTATTTCCATTTCCTAAGCTGGTTGTGTTCACGCTCTTCCGAGGGGCCAGGCTTTGTTCTCCGAGAGGCACTCAGAACAAATTATGAGTGTATCTCCAGCGACCTTTCCACTTAGCACTGTTTCCTCTGGAAACAGCGACTCCCAGGTACCTCCCAGCAGTGTGCCATTGCCACAATGCCAGTCTGCACAGCCAACTGGCTGGTGCTGCCGTCACTGCACTTTTGAATCAGTAATGAAACACATCAGCCTAGGCAAACAA